CCTTTGTGGCGGATCACGAATTGATTCCTTTTGTGGCAGATTATAATTTGATTCCCTTCGTGGCGGACTACTCATTGATTCCTTTTGTGGCGGATTACACATTGATTACTTTTGTAGCGGATTACAAATTGATGTCTTTTGTGGCGGATTACAAATTGATTCCTTTTGTGGTGAGCTACAAAGTGATTCCCTTTGTGGCGGGTTACAAATTGATCCCTTCTGTGGCGGATTACAAAAGGAATCCTCCTGTGGCGAATTACACATTAATTCCTTTTGTGGCAAGCCCAGCTGGTAGTGGCCCAGGTCTCAAAAGAGAGGAAAAAACAAAAAACAAAAAAAAACAACAAAAAAAACGTTTAAACTAGTCGAAAATAAACGACTTTCAATCGTTTTTGAAGTTTGGGACCAAAAACATATGAAAACATAGAATTGCCTACCTCCTGGGAGCCCAAACCATATAAAACATAGCATTCTGTTGTGTTTTATATGGTTTGGGCTCCCAGGAGGTAGGAAATGCTATGTGTTCATGAATTTTGGCACCAAAACCCAAAAACGATTGAAAGTCGTAAACGTTCGACAAGGTTCCATGGCTTCTTGTTTTTTTCCGTTTCTTTTCTTTTGTGACCTGGGTCACTACCAGCTGGGCTTGCCACAAAAGACATTCATTCGTAATTCGCCACAAAAGGATTCCTCTTGTAATCCGCCACAAACGGAATCAATGTGTAATCCGCCACAAAGGGAATCAGTTTTCAGCTCACCACAAAAAGATCAAATTTGTAATCCGCCACAAAAGAAATCAATGTCTAACCCGCTACCAAAGGAATAAATCTGTAATCCACAACAAAAGGAATCAATGTGTAATCCGCCACAAAAGAAATCAAATTGTAATCTGCCACAGAAGGAATCAATTTGTAATCCGCCACAAAGGGAATCCAAGTGAAATTCGCCACAAAAGGAATCTATGTGTAACCCGCCACAAACGGAATCAATTTGTAATGCGCCACAAAAGAAATCCATTTGAAATCCGCCACAAAAGGAATCAATGTGAAATCCACCACAAACGAAATTGAGTTGAAATTCGCCATACAAGGACTCTACGTGTAATCCAACACAAAAATAATCAATGTAGACTTTGCCACAAAAAGGAATCAAGTCGTAATCCGCCACACGAGAACACCTTCTGTAGGGAGGGGATGTAAATGGTGGGTCAATCGCAACTAGGATTCTATGAGAGGTGGATCCATCTCTCATCGGATTCTATTAGATTTGGATCCATCGGCAATGGGGTCCTATTAGAGGTGGATGCATCGCTAATAAGACTCCACGAGAGGTGGATCCATCTCAGATAGGATTCCACTACAGGCGAATCCATCTTTAACCGGAGCCCTTTAGAGGTGGACCCATCCCTAAAAGGATTATATTAGAAGCGGATCCATGTATAGCAGGATTATATTAGAGGTGGATCCATATGCAATAGGGCTCCAATTGAGGTGGGCCCATCTCTAATAGGAGTACACTAGAGGCGGATCCATTTCTATTCGGATTCTATTGGAGGTGGATCCGTATGTAATAAGATTCTAGCAGAGGTGGGCCCATGTGTAGCAGGATTCTATTAGAGGTGAACCCATTTTTGTCAGGATTCCATTTGAAGTGGATCCATATGTAATACGCTTTCATTCGGGGTGGGCCAATCTCTCATAGGACCCCATTAGTTGTGGATCCAGCTGTAATCGGATTCCATTAGAGATGGATCCATATGTAACAGGATTATATTAGATGTGGATCCATCCGTAATAGGATTCGATTAGGGGTGGACCCATCTGTGTTAGGATTCTGTTAGAAGTGGACCCATGTGTGGTGAGATTGAATTGGGGGTGGACCCGTTTGTAATACGATCCTATTAGAGGTGGATCCATATGTACTAGTATTCTATTAGAGGTGGACCCATGTCCTGTAAGGACTCCATCAGAGGTAGGCGGACCCATCCCTAATAGGATTCTATCAGATGTGGACTCATATGTAATAGGATTATGTTAGAGGTGTGTCCATCTGTCATAGGGTTCTGTTAGAAATGGATCCATCCGCACTAGGATCCCATTAGAGGTGGATCCATCTCTAATCGGATTCTATCAGAGGTGGATCCATCTTTAATCAGATTCCATTCGAGGTGGATCGATTTGTAATCGGATTCTGTTAGAGGTGGACCAACATCTAATAGCATACCATTGGGGATGGAACCATCTCGAATAATATGCTATTAGAGGTGGACCCATCTGTAACTGGAGCCCATTAGAGGGGCATCCATGTCGAATTGGATTCTATTAGAGGTGGACCCGTCGCTAATGGGATTCTATAAGAGGTGGACCCATATGTAATGGGGTTCTAGCAGACGTGGGTTCATTTGTAGTAAGATTCTATTAGAGGTGGATCCATCCGTACCAGAATCCCATTCGAGGTGGATCCATCTCTGATGTGATGCCATTAGTTGTGGACCCATACCCAATGGGATTCTATTAGAGGTGGACTCATATGTCTTAGGATTATATCAGAGGTGGCTCCACGTGTAGTGGGATTCAACTAGGGGTGGATCCATTCCTAAAAAGATTCTATGGAAGGTGGATCCAAATGTAGTAAGGCTCTCTCCGAGGTGGATCCATTTGTAGTACGATGCTGTGAGAGGTAGATCCATCTGTAATGCGATTCTATTCGAGGTCGACCCGCGCGCTTTAAGATTGTATCAGAGGTGAATGCGTTTGTAAAAAGGATTCCACTCGAGGTGGGCCCATCTCTAATAGGATTACACTAGAGGCGGAGCCATTTCTAATCGGATCCCATTGGAGGTGGATCCGTATGTAATAAGATTCGATTAGAGGTGGATCCATATGTCATGGGATTCTATTAGAAGTGGATCCATGTGGAATAGGATCTTATTAGAGCTCGATCCATATGTAAATCGGTGCAAAAGGTCATGTTCCAGGGGACTAAAACAAAACCTCCACGGGGGGGGGGGCCCGAGGAATCCTGGGACCATACCATCTTGGGGGGAGGGGGGGGCCCGTGGGCCCAGAGCCCGGGACTATATATGCCGTTCCCTTCGGGTTTCGAAGGGTGAATCCCCAACCAGGGGGGGAGTTCGGTGAGGGTCTCCAAGGGGACGGGAATGGGGATGGGGGTCGGTCAAACGATACCGAAACGCAGTATCAGTGACACGCCGCCGTGGGGAGCCCATCAGCGTGCTGCTGCCGAAGAAACGCCAGGCCTTCCGACAAAGGCGAAGGAGTAATACGCTGATGGGCCACCAGCTGCGGCGTGTCAGTGATACTGCATATTCTTATCATTATTATTAATATTGTTATTAATATTATTAGTATTATTATTAGTATTATTATCATTACTATTAGTAGTAGTAGTAGTAGTAGTAGTAGTAGTAGTAGTAGTAGTAGTAGTAGTAGTAGTAGTAGTAGTAGTAGTAGTAGTAGTAGTAGTAGTAGCGTAGTAGTAGTAGTAGTAGCAGTAGTAGCAGTAGTAGCAGTAGTAGTAGTAGTAGTAGTAGTAGTAGTAGTAGTAGTAGGAGGAGGAGGAGGAGGAGGAGGAGGAGGAGGAGCAGTAGTAGCAGTACCCCCCGAAGAGCGACCCTGGGCAAGAGTGACCTTTGGTGCGCGGCTTCGGGGAAGCCACGAGGAGGGCAACACCCGAGCGCGCAGGACGAAACTACCACGTCGAACTCGGCGATCGGGGGATCCCGGTGGGCCCGCACCAGAGCACGCTCCGGCGAGAGGTCGCACTTGCGTGTAGTCGACTGGTGTCTGTTCCATGAGATCGGGTCGACCCGGGCCGAGCGCACTTTTTTATTCGCAGCCGTAGCAGGCGCTATGGGGGGGGAGGGAGGGAGCGGGCATAACGTAGCGCACCCCCCCCCCTCCAAGACTGTGGTGCCGGACGCACTGCGGCAGTGCCGGGGACGCAAGTAGGTGGGGGGGACGCAGAGGGGGAGCGTTACGTTATGGGGGGCGATCGGGGGGGTAGCCCGCATTTCATGCTGGACAGTAGGAGCTCGACCACAAGAAACCTTCCACGAGAAACACAACCCTGAGACCCCAGGACGTCCATTCATTTTTGGTGGGGGAACGTCACGCACTCCGCAGCAAAACCATCGAAACCCAAGAAACCCAGGGCACCCGGAGGCAAGCAGGGCGCTTCTCGGCATGGGTTTCCACTGTTCTGCGCGAGGTCCTCCTCCAAACCGGCCTAATTTCTTGAAAACTCCCAGCACGATTCTTGAAATCCCGACGGCCCCATAGGACCCAGGAACAGGGAGGCCTCTGGACCTCGAGGATGCCGACGGTAGAGACTGCGGCGAGGCCCATTCGGGCCGCCAGGAGGTCTGCAAAGGGAGGTGGCGAGGGCAGCGCAAGCAAGCAAGCAAGCAAGCAAGATGGTCATCCTGAAGACGCGTAGGCGAAAAAGGGGGGACGACTGAAAAACATAGTTTTTGCGCCAAGCGGGTCCTGGAAGCAGTCCGCGAAACGCGCTGCGAAGACCATGATGTGGCGCGACGGCCTACAATCATGCGTGAAGAAGCCCCATCGTCGAGATTCTCTCACTGTGCGCACCCCCAAGGGTCTGGACCACGTCACTTCCCTGGGACCAGCTTCCCATCGGGGGCGACGACGAAGGCGAATAGCTCAGGGGAGATCAGCACATCGATGGGCCATGCCGGCGGCGAGGCTCACGGGCGAATACGTGTAACGCACGCGCCTGCTCTATTCGCCCCAATCGTCGCCTCGGATCTCGCCTCGGATCTTATTCCAAGCCGTCAATCGACAGTCCCGGGGCCCAGCCAGGGCTGCCAGAAGCTGGAAACGGAGGAAAACCTGCGTATGGATGCTTTCCATGCGTTAGCGGTCCGGGAGGCGGCGGGAGCGTCGGGCGCGCGCGAGCGCGGGGGCGGGCCTCAGGGGCGCGCAGCCGTGCGAGGTGCGGTCCCGGAGCGCCTCCACCAGCTGGGCGCAGCCGCGGTCTCCCAGCGCGTTGTCGGAGAGGTCCAGCGAGGTCAGCCCCCGGGAGTTCCGCACGCATCCGACCTCGGGGAAGGGTCGCGCGAGCCCAGATCTCAGGCTGCCAGGGCCCCCGAACCGAGGGCATAACTGAACGGGGGCTTGGGCCCCAAGGCCCCCGAAATGGGGGCACAGCTGAACGTCCCCTCCTCCTCCTCCTCCTCCTCCTCCTCCTCCTCCTTCTCCTCCCCTCCTGGACTTAGTCTTTCCCATCTGCCCCCCCTTTTACTATGCCCCAATCTACAGAACCCTGGGCCCCCTAAACAGGGGCATAGCCAAACGTGAAAATCGGCGTCCCCCGTGCCACCGTTTGCTGTGATCCAATCAATCTTCGACGCCCCGAGACCATATCATTGTCTCAAATCGGGCGCTTGTCCTCGATTTCGGTCTCCGGAACCCATTCCCTATGTTGTTTCAATCCGGGCGTGTGTCCTCGACTTCGGCCTCCACGGGCCTATGATCCGGCCCCTGGGACATCAAAAACGGAGCCAGGGCGGCAAGCTACCCGAGGGGAAGCGATCGGGACCTCTGGGGCCACGGACTGAAAGAGCAGAGCGGCGGGCGTCAGCGAGAGGGGCCGGGAGGTGGGGAGAGGAGGGAGAGGAGGATCTGGGCGCTCGCTGCCATCTCGCGCCACGGCTGGACGCAGCCCGAAGAGCAGGTCGAACGGGTGCCTGGGCGGGCTCTGATCGATGATTCTCAGAACTAGAGGCCTCCCAGATGGGGTCAGAATTGATGAGGTCGGAGGATCGCGCCACATCGCCGATGCATCAGCGACGCATCTGCGATATGCATTGACGACGTCGGCGGTGCATCGGCGACGCCAGCGCAGAGCAAATCAATCTCCACATCGAGCCGCATCGGCAATGCATCGGCGATGCGGCGCTATCCTCTAACCCCATCTACTCGGACCCCATCTGGGGGGCCTAGAAAAAGTAGGGCCCCGAGCTCCATACACAAACGCTTATTCCGACCCTGCAATGAAATTTGCACAAGAAAACCGATCCTGGTGTATACGATAGTGTATACATTTTCCGTTGCTTCCCCCGGAAGCGGAAAAAAGTATATACAACTCCACCCAGACGTCATCCCCGACCCTCAGGATTGCACAACAGCCTGGTATGTTCCAGCTTCCGAAGAAGGTGCGTTAGCGCCAACGTGTGCTTGACCACGGAGGCCTGCAAAACGACGCCAGCTGAACGGTGATGGCCGACACGGGCTGGGTGCTATCGGTGGCGCTGGGCGGGGTGTAGACACTCTGGGACAACACCCTTGCTGAGGAACATCGATCTGAGGACTGATCTCCGAGTCGCAAGTCGGCGGCGCGCACGGGGGGGGGAGAGCGAGAGAAAGGACAGGCCTCCTGTGAAGGCGGCGGGGCTTCTCAGAAACAACTCGACCTTCTGAGAAGCCTCCTGTGCCTTTGGGGTGCACGGTTTCCCCCAGGGCCGCAGGCGACCCGAGGAGGAGGAGGAGGAGAAGGAGGAGGAGGAGCAGGAGGAGGAGGAGGAGGGAGGAAGAGGAGGAGGAGGGAGGAGGAGGACGTACGCGCCTAACCTGAGCATTTTCTTAGGGTGGAAGGCTCTGGGTGAAATCCATATGGGCTTGTGCACCTCGAAATCCATCCGTCTTGTGATTCGCCTCTTGCAGATTCAAGCCTCGAAAACCAATCGAAACGCCATTTCAGACTTCACCCTTTGCCCTCCACCCAAAGAAAATGATCGGCGAACCACGCACATGAACACGGCCTGCCGATCCACGAGACCAGCCGCGTGACACGAACGTTCTCGCAGCGCGCACTCTCGAAACCAACGTGGATTCGCGTGCGTGCACGTCCTCCTTTCGCTCATGACTTTGGTGCGCCGCCGACGACCAGCGTGTCCACCAGGAGGTCCTCGGCCGCGTCGGAGGCGGGGGCGGCCCTCAGCGGCTGCTCCGCGTCCCCACTGCGCAGGCCAGCCAGGCCAAGCGTGTGCCAGCTGGACGCCGCGACGGCGGCAGAGCACACCGCGACAGTGCCAGAGGTGCCTATGGGGTTCGAGGAGAGGTCCAGCTCGGACAGCGAGTCCTCTGTGAGCGTCGTTTGGCCGATCCCTGTCCCCACCAGCGTGGCCTGGGCCCCACTGGCCGACTTAACCCCCCCCCGTCCTGTAAATGGGGATGTAGGCCGCTTCCTTCGGGTTTTGAAGGGCATACCCCCAAGTGAGGTGGCTGGATGGTGGGGGTCTGCGTGGGGATGGGGATGGGGATGGTGACACGGGGCGGTTACAGTGGAGGCCAGTCCACAAGACACTTGCCACAACAGACCCAACCCTGAGACCCCTGGATCTCCGTGTGGGAGCGTCACGCATCCGATGGCAAAACCATCGAAACCCAAGAAACCCAGGGCACCCTGGAGGCAAGGAGGCCCTCCCCCTCCTCCTCCTCCTCCTCCTCCTCCTCCTCCTCCTCCTCCTCTTCTTCTTCTTTTGTTTCTTCTTCTTGGGGAGGGAGGGAGGGAGGGGGGGGAAGACCCAGACATCGGGCGTCTCGAAAAAATCGAGGCGGAGGTTTTTCGTAATTTTGGGCCTCTCGGGGCCCTTACCGGGCCTCGGGGCCGTCAAAAAACGACTCGGGATGAAGAAGCGGTTCAGGGAAGTGGTCGGGAGGTCGGGGGCCCGTGTCTCGAAAAAATCGAGACGTCGGATGTCTGGGGAGGGAGGATGGAAGGGGAGAGGGGGGGGAGGGAAACTGGAAGGGGGGAGGGAGGGATGCGGGAAGGGAGGGAGGAGCGAGGGAGGAGGGGGGAGGAGGGAGAGGGACAGGAGGAAAGGAGGATGTAGGAGGAGGAGGAGGAGGAGGAGGAAGAGGAGAAGGAGGAATACGGATGCGCACGGACCTTGGGCCCAGCATGGACGAGGCCAGGACCAATGTATCGCTGTGGTGTCCCCGGTCCTTATACTTCAGCAGGTCGTTCAGGCCTGGGCGGGTGCAGCTGACCCTCCGGAGTCTCAGCCTGATGTCCGTCTGGCCCTCGAGGAGCCGCGCCAGCTCCGACACGCCGTGGTCCTCGAGGAGGGAGGGTGGGGCGCTCGCCTGCGCTCCCACCTCCCCTCGCCGCCCTGGCCCTCCCTCCCCCCGCCCCCCTTCCCCTTCCACCCCTACAGAAGAGTCGGGGCGAGGCGAGGCAATGACCGACGACGACGACGGGCGACGGCGACGGCGGCGGTGGCGGCGGCGACGACGGGGACGACGGGGAAGACGACGACGACGACGACGACGACGACGACGACGGGGAGGAACACGACGGGGGCGGCGGGCGCGACGGCGGCCACGACCACGAAAACTGTGACGTCCACGACGGCGGCGGCTTCTACAATGACCACGACGAAGACGACGACGACAACGACAGACGACGACGACGACGACGACGACGACGACGACGACGACAGCGACGGCCACGGCGACGGCGACGGCGACGGCGACGGCGGCGACGGCGGCGAAGGCGGCGAAGGCGGCGACGACGACGACGACGACGACGACGACGACGACGACGGCGGCGACGACGACGGCGACGTCGACTGGCGCCCCGCGGATCCTCGAGGCGGTTGTCCGACAGGTCCAGCAGCGGCTCCAGCGGCCGAGGCTCCTCGCAGCCAACGGCGACTACGACGCGGGCGGCGGCGGCGGCGGAGGCGGCAGCGACGGCGGCGACGACGGCGACTGCGGCGCCCGCGACGGCGACAGCGGCTTCGGCGGTGGCTGCAGTGACGGCGGCGACGACGGCGGCGGCGGCGACGGCGACGGCGACGGCGGCGGTGACGGCGGCAACAAGGGCGACTGTTACGACGACGGCAGAACCGGCGACGGCGGCGGCGACGGTGGGCAAGGGGACACATGTCCCCAATTCACCGTCGGAGATCCTGACCTTTCCCCAACCCTCCTTCGGTTTGGCACTTGTATTGAATAGAGCACTGTTGTTTCTTCCCTCTCCTCCTCCTCCTCCTCCTCCTCTTCCTCCTCCTCCTCCATCCTTCCTCCCTTTTCCTCAAAAAATAACTCACCTCTGTCGCACCCCCAGACATGTCGGTAAGGCGGGCCGGGAGGCTCGCCTGAGAGTTCCCCACCATTGATTATCCTGAAGCTTGAAATTTGCAGAAGTTTCCCTGACGGAGGACGGGTCGATTTCAAATGGTGGCTCTCGCCTCAGCGCTGCGAACATGCGCCTTACAAGTGCGCAACAAATATGAAACATGTAGGAAGGTCGCTTTGAAAAAATGTGGCTCTCGCCGCAGCGCTGCGCACATTCGTCTTAAAAGCGAGCCACAGTTTCATGGATGGAGGGCATGTTTTTCAAGTGGTGACTCTCGCCTTAGCACCGCGAACATTCGTCTCGAAATGTTGCCACAGGTTCAAACATGATGCGGCTCTCGCCTCAGCGCCGCGCACATTCGGCTCAGAGATGCGCAACAGCTCAAAACATGTAGGAACGGCAGTTTTCGAAGTGTGAGTCTCGCCCCAGCGCGGCGAACATTCGTCTTAAGAGCTTTTAGGGCGGGTCGTGTTCAGGATGTGGCTCTCGCCTCAGCGCCGCGCACATTCACCTTAGAAGTGTGCAACAGCTCAAAACATGTAAGAAGGGTCGTTTTCAAAATGTGACTCTCGCCCCAGCACCGCGCATCTTCGTCTTAAAAGTGTGCAACATTTTCACTGGTGGAGGACGGCTGGGTGTCGACAAAAAGAGGGCTCTCGCCTCAGCATCGCGCACGTTCCTCTTAAAAAGGCGCAACAGGTTGAAACAAGTCCGAAGAGCCGTATTCAAAATGCGGCTCTCGCCTCAGGGCCGCGCACATGCTCATCAGTATCATCAGAAACACCATCACCATCACCGTCACCATCCCCATCATCGTCATCATCATCATCATCATCATCATCATCATCATCATCATCATCATCAACATCATCAGTATCATCAGCATCAGCATCATCGTCATCATCGTCAGCGTCATCGTCATCATCAGCATCGTCATAATCATCATCATCGTCAGCAGCAGCAGCAACAGCATCATCATCATCATCATCAGCAGCAGCAGCATCAGCATGAGCATCAGCATCATCATCAGTATCGTCATAATCATCATCATCATCATCATCATCATCATCATCATCATCATCATCATCATCTTCATCATCATCACCACCATCATCATCATCATCACCGTCGCCATCATCATCAGCATCACAACATCATCATCAGCATCATCATCATGATCATAATCATCAACACCATCACCACCACCATCATCATGATAATCATGGTCGTCATCGTCATCATCATCATCACCACCACCATCAACATCATCATCATCATCATCATCGTCATCATCATCATCATCATCATCATCATCATCATCATCATCATCATCATCATCATCGTTATCCCCGTCATCCTCATCATCATCATCATCATCATCATCATCATCATCATCATCATCATCATCATCATCATCCTCATCACGGTTTTCCCAAGCCTGGAGACACAAAGTGTCACACGTGACGGGCTCCCGTGCCCCCTGGAACAGTCGCCACCCAGAATGCTGAGCTGACACGGGGGGGCCTCCTTCAGCCGCCCGGGGGGGCCGTGGGCACCCACCGTCGCGCCCACGGGGGGCTCTTGGAATCCATGCTGTGCGGAGAAGAAGGGGTATAGGAGCGAGGAGGCGTGCGCAAGGAATCGCGCAAGAGGTGGTCGGCAGACCCGTCGGGCCCTCCGTGGGCGAGGGGGGAGGCTCAGTCGGTGCGCGGGCAGCTGACGCGACAACGTCGGCGCGGGCGGACCCAGATTAACTGCTCCGGCGTTCAAGAGTCGGTGCGCGAGAGGCTCTGCGCTTCTGGCGCGGGCGCGCTCGGGCGGGCACCAGCCAGGGCGTGAGCACCCCATCACGGAGCTGCAGCTCGGTGCAGATTGCCAGCGTCATGCGGCTCGAGCGGGAGTACGCGTCCTCGCGAGGAGGAGCAGGAGGAGCAGGGCAGAAAGCTCCGCGGCAGACCGCAAGAGCACCTGCCTTCAAGAGACCAGTCCGCTGCAGGGCCACTGCAGGGGATGAAGGCCAACTGGACGAACCCGCCACAGGGCCGCTACAGGGCCGCTGCAGGTGGAATGGCGCGCCGTGGGGACATGTCCACCACTTCATCCGAGGGACACTCCTGCTAAAAGACTACACAATGGCATGTGAAGTATGCAAGTGCCTGCTTCCTTCTCACATGCGCATCCCAGGAAAGAGCAAAACCATCATCATCATCATCATCATCATCATCACCATCGTCATCATCATAATGATCAGAATCATCATCATCGTCGTCGTCGTCGCATCATCATCATCGTCGCCATCATCATCATCATCATCATCATCACCTTTATCACCATCATCATCATTCTCAGCTCCACCGCCGTGCCTGCTGGCACGTTGAGGCGTCCTAGAAGGTGACTCGAATGGACTCCTGCATGCTGTGCAAATTCCTTCTCCCCCACTTTGACAAAGACCCGCGTCGAGCCACCAAGATCCACGACGAGCAGGAAGTATTGAAAAAATGTCACCGTCGTCGTCGTCGCGGTCGCCGTCGCAATCGTCGTTGTCGTAGTAATTCTCGTCGTCGTCGTCGTCGTCTTCGTCTTCTTACTCGTCCAAGCAGCAATAATAGTAGTAGTAGTAGTAGTAGTAGTAGTAGTAGTAGTAGTAGTAGTAGTAGTAATGCAGTAGTCGCCGTCCTCGTCGTCGTAGTAATAGTGCTAGAACTTGTAATACTAATAATATTAGTATTCGTAGTGGCGGGGATGGTAGTAGTAGTACTAAGAGTAGTAGTAGTAGTAGTAGTAGTAGTAGTAGTAGTAGTAGTAGTAGTAGTAGTAGTAGTAGTAGTAGTAGCAGTCGTAGTAGTACTAGTAGTAGTAGTAGTAGTAGTAGTAGTAGTAGTAGCAGCAGCAGTAGTAGTAGTAAAAGTAGTAGTAGTGGTAGTAGTGATGGTAATAGTAGTAGTAGTTGTAGTAGTAGTAGTAGTAGCAGTAGTAGTAGTACTAGTGGTAGTGGTAGTACTTGGTAGCCCTAATTAAGACACTTGACCTAGTCGTCATGGCAGTAGTAATAATAGCAGTAGTAGTAATAGCAGTAGTGGTAATAGTGGTGATAGCAGTACTATAGAGACCTAGACCTAGTGGTAATAGAAGTAATAAGAATAGTAGACACCGCGAAAGTTGATGTTTAGTAACAATATGTGATGTTGTACTAGTAGTGCCGTAGAATTGGCCATAGTATGAAGACTGGTAGCTGTGGTAGTATTAATGACCGCGGTGGTGGTCGTAGTCATGGTGGTGGTACTGATGGCGAAAGCAGTAGTAATAGTAGTCGTAGTAGTAGTAGTAGTACTACTACTACGACGACTACTACTACTACTACTACGCCAGCTACGACTAGTAGCATAACAATGGTACTGGTACTAGAAGGTAGTAGTAATATAGTAAGTAGTAGTAGTAGTAATAGTAGTAGTAGTAGTAGTAGTAGTAGTAGTAATGGTAGTAGTAGTACTAGTAGTCGTCGTCGTCGTCGCGGTGGTAGCAGCAGTAGTAGTAGTAGTTGTCGTAGTAGGAGCAGCAGTGGTAGTAGTAGTAGTACTAGTAGTAGTAGCGAATAGCTAGCAACTCGTAGCAAGTAGTAGTAGTAGTAGTAGTAGTAGTAGTAGTGGTAGGAATACTACTAGTAGCGCTGACATTAATAAGAACAGTAGTCGTAGCAGCAGTAGTCGTAGCAATAACGTAGTAATCGTCGCAGAAATATTAATAGTGTCGTAACAGGTGTTGTTGTCGTAGTGGTCGTAGTAGTAGTAAAAGAACTGTAGTAGAAGTGGTAGGTGTAGTAGCTAGTCGTAGCGGTAGTAGAAACTATAAGAATAGTATTAGTAGAAAGAGTAATAGAGGTAGTCGCAGTGGTAGTAGTAGTGGTAGTAGTAGTAGCAGTCGTAGTAGTAGCGGTGGTCGTATAGTAGGGGTGGTGGTAGCAGTAATAATAGTCTGAGTAGTACGTCTACTCGTATTAATAAAACTAGGAATACTACTAGTAGTAGTAGTAGTAGTAATAGTAGTAGTAGTAGTAGTAGTAGCAGTAGTGGTAGTAGTAGTAGTAGTAGTAGTAGTAGTAGTAGTAGAAGTAGTAGTAATGGTGGTGGTAGTGGTAGTAGTAGGAGCAGCACTACTAGTAGCACGAGAAGTCGTAGTGGTAGAACTAGTAGTAGTAAGATTGGTAGAAATAGCAATAGTCGTAGTCGTAGCAGTGGTAGTAGTGGTAGTAGTAGCAGCAGTGATAAAAATCGTTCTCAGAGAAATAGCAATAGTAGTCGTAGTAGTAATAATATAATAATACAGATAAAACAATAGTAGGGCAAACCGGCCCCTGGCTGCACGCCACCAATGGAGGAGGCTGGGGGTGCTTGTTGTCAGGTCGTCTGAGGATTCCTATGGATTCCTCAGGATTCAAAAAGGATTTCTAACGGATCCCGAAGGGATCCCAAAGGATGCCTAGGGATCCCTGACTCCTAGTGATTCCTTCGGATTCCGAGTGATCCCTCTGGGTTCCGAAGGATTCTTATGG